TGTTATAAATTATGCTGTGACCTGTGAAAAATCTCTCAGATAGCTCTAGTTCCCAGAGAGTCTCTAAAAACCAAAGGGAAAATTTGTAAATTAAGGAAATTTTTTCACCATTCAGTCATTTACAAACAAAGATGCTGTAGAAACATCGTTCAGTTGAAATTGTGGCATACATCCCTAGTCCGTGTTTTAGTTTTGGACCCTTTGGAGAAACTGCTGTGTTTCCCCCAGGCATGACTGGGGCAATTGGGGAACATCTCGAGTGGATGTAAGGGGTATAGGTGTGGCCGAGTGTGAAGCTTGGTCCCTTGTTCAGTCCAGTTAATAATTTGAGATTAGAAATCTCTCATTACGTGGCGTACCTTTTCATGTCATAACATTCATGTCTGTTCGCTAAGGATGTTTGCTCCAATGACCCAGTCATGTTCTGTATTATCCAGATACTAAGATGATAGATGAAAAAAAAATTCAATAAATTGTGTTTATGAAGTATTTTTGCCTTGAACAGGTAAGTGCAGTGGGAACACTAACAGAAAAAGGGAGGAAATCACCTGAATATTTTGTCACAGACCTCAAGTGTTTTCTGAAATAGAAATTTATTATAATAAATAGGAATTTACTATTATTAAAAAATTGATGCAAGTCTCACCGAAGTCCTACACACCAGCAGGTTAAGTTCCAGAATGGATGGACAACATGGTGATTAATAAGTGTGATTCCTACTAACCTAAAATTTCTATTATAAACATAAAATTTTATGTCCAAATTTTTGGTAAGGCAGATTAGTCTTAGAAGAAAACATTTAAATAAACCTAATGTAAAAAAAGTAAAGCATGTCTGTTTTGCTAATGTATTGTATCCTGTTATCCATTGAAGTCTATCCAACCATACATTATTCTGTTTTTTCAGATATATTAGTGATGAATTGTCAAGCTATAACTACCACAAGACAGTTTTTATTAGACAATTACATTTTATTAAGCTTAATTGTGTGATTACTAAATTAATACAGACTTTACAAAGAGAAAAATCAATATGATTTTAGGTATTGGACCAATGGGAATAGCAGCTGTTACTTAAAATATTATCTATCTCTTTTTTAAATCGACTTTCAGTACATTTTTGAGGGGAACGGAAAGAAGCATTTCACAGGTTAAAGATGTGTTGAAATAATATATAATGATAACATTGAAGTCCTAGTCAAAAGGGTATTGGCGTGAATGGATTTCCTATTAAAGACTAAATCCTGTAGAACTGATGTGAAAAGTCAGCTTTACATACAGAGGACAAGTCTGTATTTATGCAGTCTGCATTGGAAGGCTTGTGAAGAGTTTAATAACTTCCTTTTCAGAAGGTGTCTGTTCCATATTACAACTGTATAAATCCAGTAAGGATTCATTGCTCTGGGTGAAGTGCCTACTGAATGATAGCTTGAAGAAGAAAAAAGGCTCAACACACCAATTTGTGTTTAGAAGGAGCAGTTATTTTTCCACAGGGTCAGTCACAGGGCTTTGTACAGTCCTTCCTCATGATATTAACTCTGCTTTTGTGGCCTGTGCAATTTTCAGTGGACGAATACGAGTTCTGTGGTTTTTTCTCCTTGAGTCATTATTTTCAGTATCACGTTATTCATAATGATTTAACTTGCTCTTTTCTTTCCTGGGGCCAAGTAACTCTGCCAGCTGCAAGGTTTCAGAAATCTCCTTTTGCTCCTTTGCTCGTTGACGGGAACTGACAGTTGCATCTTTTCCCTGATGAGTCATTGATTCTACACAGCCAAGAGTCTGCCAGAAAGATGCTAGAGTGTTTTGGTTTATTTACAATGAGCGCATTAAAAAATAAGAGGAAGCAGATGCAAAGGGCCTGATTCTCTAACTGATAGCTGTGTCGAACCAAATAAAAAGCATCAGCGCTGCTACCGTTTCGTGGGCTAGTAGAGCAGGTCAGGCACTTATGTCACATGCTGCTGTAGTCATACACATACTGACAATGTGATTTTTATTTGACCTGTTAAGAAATCAAGACTGGACCCCAAGACCATACATTATTCTCTGTAGGTAGGGATGAATTTCGACCAAATCCATCTTGTTTGGTACAATTTTAAAGATTCTTATCTTCAGCTTCCAGATACGTTAATTTGTAATTGTGATGAATCTTTTTCTCACTTGAACATAAACCACAATCCTGTGTACGCATCTGCCACCTAGTACATCTTCAAAAGATTGCTTTAGAAATACCTAGGTATTCGTGCACTTCACTTCTGTGCTCCCTAAGTAGTATTTGCTGGGTTTGATGCGTGAAGAGGTGTGCAGTATACTCTTAGCTATTGCTGCTTTAAAAAAGGAGCTGAACCAATGAGGATGTGACCTTCTCATCGTCTCACCTAATTTTCATAGAATTTATGGCAGAATGCCCTAAATTTATATTGCAATTAGAGCATAAATGTTTTTTACCAAGAGTAGCTTAAAGAATATGACTGACGACAAATTTGCTGCAAGAGACATCTATTTAAGTTTGTCTTAAACTGCAGATTGTATTCCAATTTTCCGTTTTTCAATGGTTGGGGTTTTTTTCGGTCAGTGACATTTATGTACCATAAATAATTGAAAATTTTGTAAAAGTTTTATTTCTAAGGCAAGCTTTGTAAACCTAGTGGGAAAACAAAATCAATTTTACTTTGTCCTGACACAGTACCTATTATTCCATGAGAAATAAACTCAGTCCTTATTTTGAAAACTAAAAGCTTAACTTCTGATATTTAAGGAAATTATGGTCAGAGGTGGAGTGATCTCTGGGGCACAAGTCTTTCTAGTTACTAGATGTTCAGCTCTACTGCGTACTGAAAATTAGAATTTGTTGAAATGTTTACTATAATCTATTAAATCATGTCAGTAACAACAGTATAAGAGTCAAAACAGCTGACTAAGCTTAAAACTGTGAGTGAATATCATTCCCCTGGAAACAAATTATAGTGATATTTACACTGACACTGCACCAATAGGCTGATGGTAAAAATGAAACAACCTGCAATTAAGAGTAATACAGGTGACCTTGACATGCAGAGTATTGCTAAATTATTCTGTTTCATAAAGAACGTTATTAAAAGCACTTCTCCGTGCTAAAATGATAAATATTAATTGTAATCCCAGGTATATGTGCTTTATTTTGCAGAATGGTATAAGTAGTGTAACCTGATAGCCAGAGAACAGATTGAATCTGTGTGTAATTGCATAGTGGGTTTCCTCCAAATGGGTTTAATTTACATTGGACACATATAATTATACTGCAAAATGAGTAGAGAACACAGATAGTTTTTGAGGATTGGAAGATTTCAGAAAGTACCTGGGATTTCATGGTGTTTGTGGCAGGGTGGTGCAATGGTGACATATCACATTCAGTAGGTCAACTTCTTCCAGAATTGTCCTGTAGTACAAAACTGCCATCCAGGGTCAGCATGAGCAAATTGTTCTGTTTAAAACTTATTTTTCTGGCTGCAAGACTCCACTTCCCTCCACAACTATATAATTCGTCAGAGACCTTAACATTTCACTGTTTTCCTACTAAAGTTCCTTCTATTACTTTCTCCCACGTGGTGAAGGATGGTGCTCCTTAAAGCCCCATATGCTTCTGTTAGGTAGATATTGAGATATAGATTGAGTGTTCTTTGAAGTTTACGTCCAGTTGCTTTACATCTTGCAGTTTTTTCTTAATTAGATAAATAATCTTCTTGTTAGTTAATAAAATTATGAGAATTTTGCTGATATTCATCAGAACAAAATTCTGTATTTGTGATTATATGTTTCCTAATTGTCTTTTCAATTGTAAAAGACTGTCATGGTGGAATTTTTTTTTTTTTTTTTAAATTGAGCATTAGCTTCAGAAAATACACTATCCTTGTCATCTAATAGCACAGCTGCAGAATAGGGCTGTGACAATGTGGAAAAGTGACTTTAGTTCTAGAATGGCCTGTCTATCCATACTTAGAATTATATTGCATAAAAGTATGTGAAACCTTCCCAAAAGTGTATCAAATATGTGGGAGACTAAAATTTGGTTATTTAGAATTGAAGAAGGGAAGAGTAAGAAAACCAAATGACCACGGATCTTTCCTGAAACCCAATCCTGAGAACCCTGTTAATATTAAGGAAATGTAGTTTTCTGAGAGAATATGAGAGTTCTTGAGTAATCTAAGTGATTCATGTTTAGACCACTGCATTTACATATTTGCTTTTTTTGATTTGATATGCTCTTTGTTGGTTTAAATAATACACGTTCACAATGTAGAAATTGAGGTGACCAAAATAATATTTTCCAGAATTAAAAGCTTTTGAGGACCTAATAGTTAATAGATCTAATAGACCTAATAGAATAATATATATTGAATACATTTCATTCTGGATTTCATAAATTCTTTAAAATATATAGTTAAATTCCAAGTAAAAATTACAAACTTGAAAAGAATAGAATATTTTTACTTATCCATTAATTAATAATTAGGTTTGATTTGTATTTATCTTATTTTTCAGTTCTAGCTTATACTGTAGGGAGGTTTCAGTGACAAGAAATTCTGCAATGAAGTAAATTTTACAAAGTTAAAATAGATCTGAATCATCAGTGCCTCAAATTCCTGAACATCACAGAATGTCATACTTTCAAAGCTTTGCTTGGTTTCTTGCATGGGCTGTTTTTTAAAACGAGAAAAATCTTACGCTATGCACCATCGCTCATGTTAAATACATCCTTTCTGTCTCCTGTTCATCACAGACAATATACAATTTGAGCTGTTTTAGTCTGATAATTTGCATATGCAGCACATCATTTTGACATTTAAAACATTTATCTACGCTATGAGAAATCAAGTTATTATAGAGGTGAACAGGGGGACACATTCCCTTTTGGAATCTATAGAGTATTGGAATTAATTCCATCTGGATGAACTAAGACTGTTCAAATTCATTGAGTAGTATTTTGAGAAAATCTCATGCTTTTATTTTCTATGTTAGACAGGGCTATGAAGAACTGGAAAAACAGCTGAAAGAAGTGTTTAAGGAACGGAGCAATATCCTTCGTCAACTGTCGAAGACATCTAAAGAACTTGAGGGAATTAAAGTAAACCTCCAGGTTAGGTTCTGTCTCAGTTTCTGTAAGATAATGTACCTTGACTTTTTCATATTAGTATATATTTATTACAAAAAATATGAGTTTTTTTTCTTCATTGTGATACAGTTTTAATGCTTTTAGTAATTTGTTTGTTTCCAAACCTACTTATTTGATTAGCTTTTCTTTAATATTTGAAAAAGAGCTGCACACAGTTCGCTGTGCTGAGTTACGGTAAAAGAAAGGTCAGGCTATTCCTCTCTTTCTCACAAGTGGTAATATCGGAACTGCACTGGGGGCATTTTACGAAAGAGGACCAAATTAATCATTTCACAGACGAATAATATTAAAGATCTCTTTGGTAATAGAGTTCTTCCTTTACTATCAGTCTTTGAAAAATGATGAAGCATCAGCCAAAAATGATGTGCAGAAACTTCTGGAACTGGGCCAAAAGCAAAGGTAAGCCCCCACCTCCTCCCTTCTCTTTCAATTGCCGGACTGAAAGCTGTCAGACTAGGAAATTGCATCTTTCCTTTTACTTTAACCTAGAAAAACTACTGTATTCCACAGTCTGCTGATTATAACAGTAAAATAAGGGCATGGGATGTTATTTGGGGAAATTTTTGAAACAAATGGGATATTTGCTGATATTACACATCTTGGTAAAAGATGTAAAAATGTTATAGTGAGATATGTGCTGAAGGAAGGGATTTGGAACTTCTCAGGAAGTTTTAGTCATGACATTTTCTCTTAAAAAAAGAATAAAATCACAAGTTATAGAAAATTACTACTGGATGGTAATGCCCAATTAATTAAATCATTAAAGTATCTCAATCACTGAATTTGGAGACGATGATATATAGTTATTTAGGCCTCTTAATTAAAGTTATTTAGGCCTCTTAATTAAGTATTCACAAATGTAGACCCTCAAAATCACTAGTTGTGCACATGTAGGAATGCTTGCACCGGATATCTGGAGGGAGGCAGTTAGGAGGACAGAGAAGTATTCATTTGAAATTACTCATTGAGCACTTAAGAAATAGCGAGAGTCTGTGGCTGGGAATGCAAGTTTATGCTCCTTCAGAAAATAAAAGACTTTTACAATATACTCCAAGAAAATGCCTTGGAGCTATTGTGGGTACTTGACAGCCGTTTGCAGGCTCGCTGGATTTCACTCCTGGAGAGGGGTGGAAGTTCACTGTGAGATCAAAGTATTAAAAATGTGCTGGGGAATCTCCCTCATAACGTTTCACTGAGGAAGTATCACGGTTTTCTTGCCAATGAGCTGTACTTCATCTGGAGTCAGTGAAGAACATTGAACGTAGTGTTGTGTTTATATCTATTGTATTCGAACCAAAATTCAAAATATATCCCAATATTAATTTTCTTATCTTTCTTTGGACAAACATGAGCTGCGTTTGGTCTGTGAGCACTACTTTGATTATTCTCTTCACTGATGGATGATACAGTAAGATTTACAGTGCTAGAGTCTCAGCTTCTGTAAGTGGATGTAGTTCTACTAACTTGAAATTAGATTACTTTTTTGATCCCTTTTGTGTGAATTCTTCAGTATTTCCCAGGCTGCAAGTAAAACTTGGTCACTTAGTATGTGATGTCTCAAGTTTTATTCTTTCTGTGCATCATCAGCACTTTGAAATGATCGCGTCTGTTTGTACAATAAGTGAGCTGTATTATTGTGCTGATAGTGCGCTGCCTGCATGCTGCTTAACCACTATCTTGATGAAATCTGTTCTGTACTAGTGTTGCTGAATTTGCTCAAGGTAATGGAATTATCGGCTAACAAGAAAGGTGATCCAGCAGCTCACAATTTCTGTTCTTGTATGAACTAGATGCTTTCCATTCCAGTTTAGTTTTCACTGGGCTAAACTATTATCTGTGTGAAAACTCAGATCTGTGTTGGTGTTCTGTGAAGATTTATCCATGCAAGCACCAGCCCTGAAAAAGCTCTGCAGCTGGCCAGAGATACGTCACTCTTCTGATTTGCCATAGCTCCCAAGTGTGTCATGTGCTGTGGCCGAAAAGAGGATCTCAGCCCACCACAGTCCTCACAGTTTGGAGAAGTTCTCTGACTGCATCATTATGCAAAGGGTTGAGCTTTTAAAAGTTGAAATAAAGCCCACTACAAGCAGTAATTCCATTTTTTTTTTCGCATTTTGTTGGGTTTTTGCTGGGTTTTTTTGTGGTTTCTTTTTTTCTGTCTTGTATGCCAGAATCTTCTACGAAAGCGTTGCTTGTCTCTAGAATGAACCACGTGAAGACTGAATTTTATCAGAGCATTATTTGTTGGTTTATTTTAAAGCAGATGTAAGGTAGTTTCTATTGATAATAAAATGGTTCTCTTTTGGTGCATTTTCAGTAGCCCAGCACTTTTTTGGTGCCAATCCTTTTTGCTAGAAATGATACGTTGGCAGATGTTTTGCACAGCAGGCTATTCAGTAGATGTAGAAGGTGGCCAATTTCTATGATAGATAATTTTTGTCTTGCCTTGGCAATATAGTTTGTGGGATCATTATGATTTTATTAGCAAGACTCATAGACATAGTACATCTGTCTGTTGCTCAGAATAATTAAAGGTGCCTTTTCTTGAATCTGAAGAACTATTTCTTAATGGATGATTGTGATGAATTTTATGTTCTGTGTTTTCAACAACTAGGGAAGAAATGAAGGCTCTCCAGGAGACCTTTCAAAAGCAACTTAATGAGGCAGCTGAGAAAGCAGAAAAGCAGCAGGCTACTGTGAGTGATTCCATGTCCCTCTTTCATTATTTTTGTTTGTTTCTTCTGTCTTGTTTTAATCCTTGAGAATTTGTCATTAGCTCGAATAACTTGGCATGTAAAAAACTTATTTAGTAAGATTTTACTGCTTTCCAAGCTCATAAACCAACGGGTCCTTCAAGACGGAGGTTTAAAAATAATTTTTAAATTTAGCAAATATTTACAAATTCCTTCTTTTGTATGCAAGTGGTTCGTATGTGGCTTTATGTTCTTGGTGAAAAAAATAGCAGTTTATATCCCTGGTGAACAAAATGCCAGAGTGTGTGATTTGCATGCTACCTTCTTGTAATTAGAAACAAGGTAGATTTTGAACTCTAGTGTTCCTCTTGCAGGTTTCTTTCATTTAATGTGATTTTTTAAAACACTTTTTTCCCCTTTGCACAGAAGTATGAAGAGTACAGATACTGCTTTACATAGTTTTGTGTCCCCCACAACATATACTTATGGATTTTTGGTACTTGTTATTTTGTCTAGGGAGCAAAAACACTCTTTTGTTCTTGAGATGAGAAAAGAAGTAAACTGAATGCCCTATTGAACTTGAAAAGGATAACTTATTTATAAGATCTTTTTCAGTGACCAGAGCAGCATGTATCCAGAAAAAAAAAATCTGCACTCATTTTAAGATGGTTTTGTACTGAGGCAAGATAGATAGTCCTGAAATAAGAAGAAATTATAAGCTAAATACTCAGAACATGGTGGTCGAAAGTTGTCTGGTTTTCAACTGCTCGGGCACGTTCCCAGTTGGCACAATGAATTCTCATCCTGCAAGTGAAAGGTGGAAAACATATTTTGTTATTTAATCTCTGTATTAGTTTTTAATATTCAAGATTAATTCACCAGTGGCTTAAATAAATCTCAGCTGTAGTGAATAGATTATTGGCTCTGTTCTTCTTTGTGATATAGTGCTTTTTGTGAACTTGAATAGCAGTGCCTTGTGTAAATTCAGTCCATACCCCAGCACTGGGGAAGAGTATGAGATTTGTTCTACATGAGTAAAACAAAATCTAATGTAAAGTGGAAACAAAAATATTACCTAGTGCAGAAACGAACAAAACACCCCCTTGAGTTTATAGAAGACCTTGGTTTGGAGTGTTATCAGCTGGTTAGAGAAATTGAATTCTTGAGCTATATTCTAAAACTTGCCAGTAATAGAATGTTAACTCTGCCACTGATTTTAAGGAAAGCAGCAACGTGTCCTTGGTTTGTGACATTTATTTCTTTATGGCTTAGGGTACAACGTACATGGTGAAACTCACCAATACAGTGAGACTGAATGAATATTCAAAAAGCTCTTCGGGATCCTCACCTGAAAGCTGCAATAGAAATGGAAATAAATATTATTACTGTCGGACAAGGTTACTTTAGACCTGGTTTCTCCTGAAAGCACTATGAATGCTATGAAAGAAGGTGTAGGTACTTTGAGGCAAACCTAACTAGAGCATGGGAGCTTGAATTTAATTCAGATTTAATGAATTGTGGGTTTTGTTTCTGATCCAATTTAAGCATATTTTCTTCTACAAGATTTGGTGAAGTGAATCTTGATTTTCATCAGAGTAAATAAGAATAGAATTACATTTCTCAAAGCAAATGAATAAAACACTGGAGGGGGGTCGGAAATACGTATTTCTTTTCTGCACTTGCCAAGGAGGCACAGTACGATGCTTGTTGTATGTTAATTGGCTGTATATATTCAACAGGGAGTACCTGCCTGAAGGTGTACTTTATTAGGTAAATGCAAAAGTGTAAGTAAGAATTCACAAGAATTAAGTCAAATTAAGTGAAAAATAACCTGGAAAGTACTCAAGGACTCTGACCAAACCAAAAGAACAAAGGAGATGCTACAGCGATATGTTACGCTTTGCATCCACATCTTGTGCAATTTATGGCAAGACTCTTCACTATCAGCTGCACAAATAATTCATCAGAAAGGGTATCACCAATGTTACTGTGCATGCTTCCCCATTTTTTTTATGTCTTTAAGACTAGAAAAGCCAAGAATGATAGGCACCTAGAAGGTGACTGTTCTGAGAATCTGCTGAGTTGTTAATGGGTAGAGTCTCGTGGAGAGCAGCCAGTGTATCTGCTGCTAGGTAGTAACTACTCTCTGCGGTAGAGGCAGAGACTCAGGCTGGATGAAACAAAAAGGAGGTGTAAAGACATTCCTGTCCTTTAAAGCACTACCCACGCTGAGGGCTGACCTGGGCCCTTAGCAGGAGCAAGCACTCCCCTTCTGGGTTGTCTTCTGCATCTGTAGCTTGAACGTATGAAGAAGAGCAGCCATTCACCTTGGGTCTTTTCTAGAGTAGATGTATGCCTCTTGTTTCAGCTGCTCTGTCTGGGATAGTAAAATGTGCAGAGGAACACTAGCTACAACGAGGATGGTTTAAATTTTAGAGTAGCCTTACGTTGCGAAGTTCGAGGTCAAATATATTGTTCCAGAAAGATTTGGGTTGTGGGGGAGCTTCTCTACAGGCCTTCTCAAACTAGCACTATGGATTATTTGTATACCAAAAGCATTTCTAAATAGAGAAACCTTGTTATTTAGAAGCACCATACTGCGTTTAGTTACATAACGTGTGTATAAAATGTATAAGACGTAACGCCAGATAACCTGTTGTCCTCTTTAACAATTGAGAACTGTTGACAGAGCTTTTTCTTCTGCATTTGATATCAAATACCTGACTGATAACAGGTTGTTATGCAGTGAAAAAATGTATTAAAAATGTCAAGCTATATCTCTTAATGTGAAGTGGAACTAGCTTCAAAAATAGATTTAGGGGCCATGGACTAGTTTTCACTTTTGTTAACAAAAAGGCAGAGGGTAAATGACCCATGTAACTTGAAAATATTGGTTTTTTTATTTTTTACTCCAGTGAATTTAAAAAATAGACTAAGTTGTGGTTCTGTGTCTCAGCATTGTGTCCATAGGCTTTTAGAGCTTTTTGGAGAAGGACCCTTCAGTTGACTGTACTTTATGCTAATTGCTTGTAAGAAATAGGAAGCGACCTCAAGGTTTGCAGAATTGTTTCCCCTTAACTGCAATTAAAGTTTATAAAAAGAACTGGATAGCTCTGGCTGAGGGAGAAAATAAAGAATGAAATAGGGAAGTTCCCAGAAATAGTTTCGCTTAGTAGAGTAAGCTTAGTCTACCTTTTACATTTTATTCCTGTTGGTATTCTAGATGATGCTAACAATTTTTGAAACAGCTTGGTGATGGAATTGTTTGACAATACAATTATAGTACTCTGTGTCAAAATAGAGAAGAAAATCATAGAATCATGGAATGGCCTAGCTGGAAGGGACTTTAGACGTCATCTAGTCCAACATCCCTGTTTTGGGCAGGGACGCCACCTCTCGACTAGACCAGGCAACACATGGGGACCAAGCGGGAATCAAACCCGCGACCTTGGTGTTGGTCCTTGTTGTCAGCACTGCGCTCAAACCACTGAGCTAACCGGCCCCCTTATATATAAAATATATCTAAGTTCCTTTTTCTTAGTTGCTTAGTGTTGACAATGAAAAATGAGATCCAAGTAACACATTAAATATGACTTTTAAAAATAAATAATATGGCTATTTTGAAATCAGTAGGTTTTTTCTTAGTAATAAATTGCTGACAGAACATGGGAAATTTGATTCAGAGATATTCACCACCAAATAAGTATCTTAAGAGTTATCACAAACTCATGCCTGCAATAATTTTAATAAAAATTCAGATGATTGTTTCACTTGAGAGACATTTGTTTTGTTCAGTAACAGCCCTTATGGCAGGTCCTAAATGTCTCTGACAAAGATCTGTTTTATTAATTAAAGTACAACTTACAGCATAAAAGTTACATTCATCTAAGAATTTCAGTCGGTAAAAAAATATTTTAACTTCGCTTTTAGAAATATTTAACACTTTGCTGAATACTTTTTCCCGATTTCCTATATTTTAGGTAATAGCCTAACCGGTTCTCTCTAGCTTTCGGAGTCAATTCCTGTGCTGTAACTTGAAAATTAGACCACGAAAATTAATATTGAGCATGCTAGGGTTTCCAGATGTTGCCAAAATAGTTAAGTGCTAATGAATATAGTCCAGTCCCATCTTAATTGCTCACACCTTAGTCCTGAGCAAGATACAAGAAGTCTGGAGGTAAGCAAATAAGTGTAAAGCTGAGCTTTGGCTGTGTGGTAATGATGTTGTATTGGTATTCTTCCATCCTTCGTCTATAGTGAATAGCTAACTATTGTCTGACTCTTAGAATTAGATCAGTGCCATCTGCTAAAGCATTCTGTATTTCGTTGGGGGAAAATTTAATTTGAACATTTCAAGGTCACAAACTGCTGTGAGTAAAGGCCACTGGATGGAAGCTGTTGCCTTTAATAAACATAATGAGCTCTGAAACACACAAAGCTCTGAGTACCTTGGATATCTGTCTCCAGGAGACAGAAGCGGTGTCCTTGCTTAATATTGCAAAGTTCAGCCTTAGAACAATGTATTTTCATAATTGCAGCTAGATAGTAATTAAAGGCAGCCAACATGTGGAAAGAGGTGAATGTCAAACAAGGACAAGGTGTGGGTAGAGAGGAGGAAGAGATGTGCGAAGCTTCTTAGTTTCAGTTTTTCAGTTTCTGTGCCTTTTAATTTCGAACTGGGTATAAATCCCTATTTATGTTTATTATGGTCTCAGGATTTGGCAACTGAAAGTAGAATTTTTACCTCTCTCGTGAAAAATGGCTTTATGCCTTGTACTTGGGACTGACCAAAAGCATCATGCAAATGGTCTGGTGCAGACTGGTCTGACTTAAAGCCTGAAATTGTACATATAGAAGCACTTAAGTGGATAGGATTTTCTCTGTATTAGCTCCAGTAGTCAAGCCATACAGATCCCTCCTATGTAGCTCTGTAGCTGAACTTTATGACTGAGCGGTTCTTCAGTTGTTAGAGATGTAGTAGAAAAGCTTTAAAATTGCTGTTGTAATAGGAAAGCAATTACTTTTTAATTGATATTACTTCTAAAAAAGGGATGTAAAAATTTCTTTCTTCAGTGTTCAGGTAAGCTAAAACAGTAAGTTTGCACTATTTAATATGTCCATATCAGTGATATCAGATGCAAGTATATGTGAATAGTAATTAACAAAAATTACTGGTTTAACTAACACAGATTGCTGGTTAAATTAACAGTACTATGATGCCGAAGATCCTAGCTGATACTCACAAGCCATGTACAGAGAATACATAGGTAATAATTTTGCTATCATAGCTCTTTAATTATTTTGTATGTACTCAGATTTAGAAGTGAAGTGCTTTGAGGAAATATTAATATTCTCTTGAGAGTTAATACTAAGAAAGGGAACACTCTTTAACAGAGGTCAATATATTATTTTTGTCAGTATGTAAGAAGCTATTTTATGCTTTTCCTTGTTGATCTTGATCTCATTCTGATTGTGACCTTTATTTTTTTGTTGTGCAAAATCTTCATATTTTACGTACGATATACATGGTCTAAATTTCAGTATCTGTGGTTGCAGTTGCTAGGCAAGTTCTGAATATACGCATCTTCTGTTACAACCTCATCTGCAGTGGTAGCTGGATGTAGAGTTAGCATTTCCACAGCCAAACCACTTAGGTGGTTTGCAAAGAGTTGCAAAGAGTTTGCAAAGGAAGTTCTGTTTATGTATGTCAGTTGGCACTTTTCTCGTGGACCCCCTGCCTACGTTTTTCTCTTAAGTGATGCTAGTGTTCTCTGACTTCTCTTTTGACACAGATTAGAGTAATGTCAAGTCTGTTGATGTTTTTTAAATTACTGACATCTGTCTCCTTGTGCGTAGGCATAATTCAGAGAACGGCTGTCATATCACGCAGATTCACTGTCATTTTTTAGCTGCATGACATCTAAACCATTAATCTCTAGGTCAGTGTCTTCATAATCTAAATCTGTTTTCATACAGAGGTTTTGGGTGATTTTATTTTTTATTTTTTAACAAGTCTGTTGCAATGTCAGACAACTGTAGGTCCCCGTAAACGTAGGGAGAGTTTTCTAACCATGGGGGAGAGAACATGGCATAGGATGTTGTGTATATAGGGATGAACATTTTGCTAATTGAGGTATCTAAGAGCATCCTCATTTGGACTGAAAATCATGTGTTCTTTTAATTCTAGTTGTTATAATTACATCCTCCTTTCTCCCATTGTGTTCCATAAGCCAGCAGGAAAGGTCAGTCCTGAAAGAAACTTAGACTGATTTGTAAAAGCAATCTTTTAAACTCTTTGATAAAATTTGATCTTAAAACTAAGATTGGAATTTCTACTTGCAAAGGCAAGTAATTGAATTAAATACGAACTAAAGACCAGATTTGAATGCTTTCACATATAATGCCTTTTATTCAATAAGGTCAAGGGGTTCGTCTCTTTATGACCAGAGCTATAGCATTCAAAAAACTGTGATAGAAACCTGTTATGATAGATGATGTGTTTTAGGAATTAAAAAAGCATTAGATCATAAAATCAGTTAATCCTTAGTTCTCCGGAGATCATGTTGGACTTTATTGTGAAAAAGAAACACCATCTGTACTAGTGCAAAAGTAAAGTAAGCCTATCTATGTACAGTGATTGTCTTCTCTTGATTATAAATTTTCCAGTAAATATTATGCTACGTATTTGTAGATTTAGCAAATACCTAACTGTGGCCTATTCCATTTTGGTATTTGAGCGGAAGTGGGTTTTTGTTTGTTGGTTTGGTTTTATTTTTGTTTTGTTTTTTTTCTTTCCAAAGCTCTGTGAGTAGAGTAAAAAGATCAAGTATTGGTTAAACTGACATTTAGGTATGTTTCAACAACTTACATTCCACATTTCTTTAACCCTGTAGATAAACTTTTTGAAGACTGAAATGGAAAGGAAGAGCAAAATGATCCGTGACCTCCAAAATGAGGTAAGAGGAACATTTGACTGTCATCTCCATTTAGTTTACACTGAAAGAGATTATGGTTTGGCTTTGTCTTTAAAACACATGTTGTTGTAGTAGAAAGATAAAGCTCCAGTGAAATACTCTAAACTCAAAAGCAAACAAAAAGGATGATGTGCGTTTACTGAATGCAATTGTTGACTCCTTACTACTGGTGTGTAGGTCTGTAGTGCACATCTGTATCTTCTGCTGTGCTTAGGAGCTGTGACTTTTTCTGAAAGCAATGCTCAGTTCGGTTCTGTAGATTTTAATACACAGAGAAAGTTTATACATGGTGTCGTGTGCTTTAAAAATAAACAGCAAGAGGAGGAAAAAGGCAATACTATTTTAGAAATGAAATTCTTAATAAAGTCTTATAAAAACCACAAAATGTTTTCTTAAGTTTTATGTGTCATGAACATTAATTCCAGACTGATACCAAAATCCAAAATCAGACATAAAACATGTTTTATTTGATTTTTGTTAGTATTAAAATTTATTTTGAAATTTAATTGTGGAATGGAAACTTAAAACATTTGATCAGTATCATATTTTTTTACGCCTTAGTTTTTTGCCCCAAATAATTTATCTAATCAGATTATAGTTTCCCTTTTCTGTCGCTTCATTTATGCAGATGATCTCTCGTTCTCTTACCAACCTGTCATCTTGTCTTTTTGTGCTCATTTTTGCATTTTTCTCTTCTAAACTATTCCAGGCTTGATGTGCATGAAAACTTGATCTTATTAAAGCGCTTATTTAAACAATTTTCCTTGATGCCTTTGGTCTGGGAGGGTGTATATATATATGGTCCATCTGAAAAAAGTGCAAATTACTTTTGAATTTGTGAAGAAAATCTTGCCCATTTCAGTTGCTCGTGTTATTTAAGCCACATTCTCAGTTGTCTTCATTTACAGTTGTCTGCTTCAATGTTTTTTTTCCCACCTGGGAAAGCACTGGATGCTTTGCAATTGAGTCTGTTAATTCTAATAAATCATATCAGTCCAGCCTTATTGACCAGCTGTAAAAAAATCTTGACCCTTTTTGCACACAAAGAAATACTTCATTAGTTGACATTCAAACCTTCTGACTGTTAATGATTTTCTTAGGTAGGTCAGTAGAATTCTGTAATATTATTTAGTGTATTTACAGCATATTTTAGGAAATCTGCCTTGAAAGAAATCTTTCTTTTTGGCACCAAAAATATTTGTTTCTCAATTTAAAATGGGGTGGTTCAGCAACATTCTGTTTCCTGATACCCTCCTGTCTGAAGTTGCAAGAGCTGGCTGGGTAAGCTGGCGATGTTGCAGGTGGTTTTGGGCCGGTCACGGAGCCTTTCAGAGAAACATGGCATTCACACACCTACAGTTTTATGTTTCTGATGTCAGTCTGCAGAGCGACTACCAAAAATAAGCAGGCAACTAAGAGTGCTCAACGTTCCTTCGATTCAAAACATAGATATGTTGACTTGGATGCTCACATGCACCTGTTCACACACATTTTACATCTGTGCTACCCTCTTGCCCGGCCTCATTGCCCACAGCATCTGCAGTCCTTGGGTTGGGGATATTCAAAGATGTATCCCTTTCTATGCCCTGTAGCATATGTTTATAAACTTGCTGCCCATTAATTTCTCTAAATCCTTTTTTTGATATCAGATGCCCCCACAATGTCTTAAATTATAAAATTCCATCTTACCTCACTGTTTATAGGGGTGTTTTTTTATATCTTTTCCTGTTTTCCTCCCTTGAGCAAGTTTTTCCAAATTCTTGTTCCCTGCGTAGCCTCCTTAGCTTTATAAAGTCATTCAGAGTTCTAGGGGCTTTTAATATAGCATTTCTCAACAACTTCTAGATAGTTGATATGTTTGTTGATCATTTGACTGTTCCTTTCAGAATTTTTTACTATTTTTCTTATTTATACATAGTGCTCTTTCATGAGATTGAATGTCTATGTGCTGGATTTATATGTGTTTTGCTGTTCTGCCACAGCAGCACCTGTTATTGCACTTTGTTAGCAGTTGCAAGGAGTCTGCCTTTAGTTCTTTTTGAACTCAGGCCAGAAAATCCCTTGAGAACAAACCAGAAATGTCTTTTCTTGGGGGCTGTGGGGCTGGCTGCAGTCACTTGCTGCGTAGCTTCTTTCAGTCACGTTGCCCATGTCTAGTTCAGTCTGGTTAGGGTCTCTACGCTATATGAAGCATGAAAAACTCTATGATATCTCTTTAATATCTTGGCAAATCCTTAGAGACTAGATAAGCACACTAGAGAGAACTGGAAAGTACAAAATGCTTGACAGTGCTTGCATTCAGGTGATATATCTGCCATTCTTTTTGTTACTACCCTGTCCAAATTCATTCACATAGGTAAATACCGGAAAAGTCTGCACAAGTGATCTGCTTTTTGTTATCTCCCATCAAGTTACCTGAAACATTTCCATTTTTTTTGATGTTGTCAATTTGTAAGAAATTTCAAAAACTGGGAAGGGATTGTGAGCACTTATTTTAGGAGAAAACACAGAATAGTACCTGTGATTAAAGCAGCAGTATGGTCCTAGCATGCCCTGGAAATCGGAAGCTCCATCATTCTGTTCTTGGCTCAGTCAACAAAACTTGCCTTGAGAATCTTCTCTGCAATGGCTGCTGTGTGGAGAAGAACCAATACTATACCTACCTAATGGCTTTCTATTAAACTTCTATACTATGTTGGCCAGTTCCCTAAACGTCGATCCACTAATAGCAGTTTTTCTGGAATTTCAGTAATTTTTTTTTGAGGGTTTCAGTAGGAACTTCGTACTTTAGCAAAGATTTAACTGAATTTAAATAGGATGATTTTGAGGAAACATTTTAACTAGGTCCTGCCTCAAATCACTGAATATACAGTATACTTTTAAAAAATCTTATTTGTGAGATTGGCTAAGCTATATATTTAAATGATTGACAGCGTTTTATATGTTTTTTAAAAGTGCTTTCTGCACACAGAGAGATAGAAATAGGTAATGAAAATGGAATTCTTTTCATAGCTACTTTTGTCCTTTCCAATATTGCTTTCACCTTCAGTTTGTATGGGCAAATTGTGAATTCTGCAGTCTCAGGCTCTTTCACGACTATAAAAATAATTCCCTATTTAGTTCTCTTCTTCAGCACATGCCCTAATGCCATTCAGCTTTGCAGTTTGGAGATAGGAATAGACAACAACAGCCTTCCAACTGAATGTAGCAGCTGTGATGTGGTGTGTGAGGACGTTGTACAGAAAGTCAATTTTCAGGCTATGCAGGGTCAAAAACAGTTAACAACAAAAATAATCATTGGTGTGGAGATAGAGCACATAGGGGTTATGTTTCTAAAAATCTTGTCTTTTTTAGAGGTCTCTAAATGCTTCCTGTGATACTGGAAAAAATCCATCAGACTTCCAGCAGTAATGTCGTGTGGAACGTGTCAATGTTGTCTAATAAGGATTGACATGTAAACAGATAAACACTTATTTTGAGAAGTTTCTGTTATTGACAAAGAAGTCAAGAGGTTTGGAAATTCAGAATTACTGACAGAGCTAAGAAACTTGGCAAAAATGTAGAGTAGACTAGAATAAAATTCTTTTCATTTTTGGAGATGGCCTGTTACAGAGCGAGCAGCTTACTTCAATTAGGTCAGTTCTACGTTGTGGAAAATGATGCCAAAACTGTTTTTAAAATGAAACAAAAGCAGGAAGCTGTGTTAATCCTTGCTTATATCGGAAAAATCACTGATCTTACCAATTGCTTTGGGCATGCAGAACAGATGGTTTTGGGTACAGCTCTGACTAGGTATACATGTGATGGAGGAACAACTTTTCTGCATTGATGTGGGTTGTGCAGTGTGGTAGCTTGTCACTCATTTCCTGCCAGTACAGCTCTAAAAGCCATCCTCAGTTAGGGGTAATTGTCCTAGCTGATGTGTATGACATTTCCTTGGGATAAATGCATCAGGAATTTTCCATAAAAGATAGTAAATAGTGTATGTTCTCTACTGAAAGGTAGTGAAACATTATTCAACTTTGTCACATAGATGCTTTAGTTGCTTCACATTAGACCTAGAAATGTGTACAGAAGAAAAAATATTGGTTTTATTTAAACCACTTAATTACATTTGTTTAGTTAAGAAATGACTGCCTAGCTTGTCATGTTATCTTTGGGCAAAGCGTTTTACAATATCTTGCATATATCTGGCATATACCCACATTAAGGTGTGTGTTAATAATTTTATAGATTTACAACAATCCCATGGATTTATGAAGTTGATCTGATGTTTTATATCAGGCAATGTATTTCTTTGCAGTTTAGACTGTGGCAGAGCTTTGAAAAACATGAATTACATAAAAGATGTATAGTAGTACAAGCAATACAAAGTAAACCAGGAGTGGAAAATGAATTTGACTGTAGCTCTCAGTAATATTTGCTAAGAAGCACTGTTTTAAATAACTACCTTGTAAACAATACTTTTACTCTATTCATGTATAAATTGTGGTTATAGCTTTAGTGTCGAGTAAATCATCCTAAACCAGAATTTTTTTCCAATCTCTCTGTGCTTAGCTGCACTAATAAAAGGTAAAGTCACAGCAGTTTAAAGTCTCACCTGATCTATTGGGAATTTCATGCCCTGCAGAGTGAATTCAATCGAATTGCATTGAATTATGCTGAGGAAAAAAATCCAAGAAACCTCTCTTAGTCAAACACAAATGAAATTTTAAAGCTTTGGGACTGTATGCTGATACTATTTCTTTAAAGGAGGACATTGTAGTTATTCACTTTTCATACTCTGACGATAAAACTATCTCCTTTTATTTTTTATTTTCCCCCCTAAGTATAAAGCCTGTCTTCCTGGGAATTAAATTGGGTAAAGTCCTGTTCTTTCTTTGGGAACTGCATTGGTTGCACAGTTCAGAAAATATCCATAAGTGTCAGAGCCAGGGGCATAATCCAGGGAAAAGCAAAGGAACAAGACGAGTACAGGAGCA